GTGAATCATTGCACAGAATATCTTCCACTCTGTCTCTTCTCCTCTCTGTATATCCACCTTTCCAACAAAAAATAAATATATCTTTAAAAAAAAAAAAGACACTGTTGGAGTATCTGAATTCAACACTTGGCTGATTCCCGAATTGTACCTCCTGGCAATGTGAGCCTAGAAGGTAGTGGTGATGTCTCAAGAGATTGAGTTCCTGTCACTCAAATGGAAATATCAACTAAGTTTCCAAATCCTTATTTTTACACAGGCTCAATCCCAATCTTTTTAGGCAATTGGAGAATGAATCAGTAGATCTGAGTTCTCTCTGGCTATCTGTTTCTATGTCACAATTTTGCAAATACATAGATAAATACATTTTTAAATTATTTCATTCTATTTCTTTGCTAACTTGTTTACTTACTTCATTGCATGATATTTTCTTCCTTTCCATGCATTTATTTATTTCTCTTATCTATTTCTTTCTCTGTCAGCCCCATATTCCACAAACAATGTATTCAACAAATGCTTCTAATTTCCTCTTAATTGGTTTTTTTTAACGTTCTAATTGGTAAATGCTATTCCATTCTCCATCATCCCCTGTTTTTTCTTTGCCCCTCGACTGAGTCCTTGAACCCAAACAATTGACAGGAACAAGGGGAGTTAACCTGGTCTTGCAGGTTCGACTCAGTCTGGAAGTTTGTGAGGATGCTCGGAGGGACAGTCGCCACTTTGAGGGTCTCCTTTTGGCTTATGGCTGTGTGGCAGGTCCAAAACTCATCAAAATCTTCTATATACTTAATACACATTTTTCTATAATCCACAGTTAGAGGATATATTTTTAAAGTCACAACAGGGAGCTGCACAGCTTACGCTTTTGCATCTTCAGGCTCAAAGTGCCCACCTGAATTCCTTCCTCCATATCTACAGTAGTAATTGGTACAAAAGAACAAGATTTTAAAATACACTTTAATAAAATACAAACAAGCTAAGCAAGTCAACTTTGCTAGAACTGTGTGGAAGACTTGTATACATTATAAGCAACTGGGACTGGGCAACAGTGCTCCTCTACTTCCTTAAATAACTTTAGTTAGTGCATCTGGAAACGTTCTTTAATCATAAAAGTATTTAGTCTGTTTTGTTCATTAGCCGCCAGTCTCCAGCACTAGACTCAACTGTCATCCCTATCAGTGGTCAGATTCTTGATTTTGCTCTTCAAAATCCTCTATTGGGCAGGTATGGATTTGAACGTTTCTCCTGACGTACATAATTGGAATACTGTAGAATGGTGAATTACGGTATGTGTTTTCTCGACAGTGGTAGCAGAGAGGAGAGTATTTATATTAAGGAGACCAGAAAATACTACAAGTGAGGGCTTTTTCCTTAAATTGCCAAGCTGTTAAACACCAGCAAACTGGCAGAAAATGGTAGTGGTGTCTTCCAAATATGGCTTAAAAAAAAGCAAAAGCTGGGGTAAGCGTGGCATCCATACTAACTCCCATAGAACTTACCCTTACATTGCTTCTTTTGTAAAAAGGACTTAAAATTAGCCAAGACCTTGCCTTCAGCTTCAGAATCAGATAATAGTCTGTCATAAACTAAGCAGTTTACTTGAAACCTCTAGTACAGAAAGCCTAGCTTAGAATGGACTCATCATCCAAGTCATGCCTGTACTGAGACTCGTTTGAGGGACCTGAATTTGATTTAACACAAGCTTCCATATGTCTTTCCTGCTAGACATAAACAAGAAAGCATTTAGTTTCAGGGATCACAGGTAGTCATCCCAGACCACAGGTAAAAGCCACTGACCAAGAATGAATATAATCTGTTGAAACAGAACCAGGAAACGGTGAGAGATAAACAAGTTACAGACCAGCCCTTGTCTGAAACATTGATCTAAGACTCCATGAGTTAGTGAACTTCCCCTTGCTGTGAGCCAGAACGAAGTGGGGTTTCAATCGGTTACTAAAAGGATTCCTTTCTAATATATGAGATGGAGGTTTCTTTTACCTTTATGGTTTTTAAGTTTAGACTTATTAATCTTTATTTAAAGGGCAAAGAAACAGGGAGAGATTGACATACCGACACAGATAATCCATCTGCTGACTTATTCTCCAAACTCCCACAATTCATGGCTGGTACAGACTGAAACTAAGAGCCAGGAACCTTATTAAGATGTTTAATATGGACTACAGAGACCAAGTACTTGTGCCATTTCTCCCTCACTTGCCAGTTGCCATGGTATGCATCAACGGAAACGGAAAGCTGGGTAGAAAATAGAGGTGGAACTCTATCCTTGCCACTCCAATATGGGATACAGGCAGCCCAAACAGTAGCTCAGTTCACTTTGCCATCACACCTAGCATCAAGATTGTTATCTTTAGATAATTATATCAAGAAAATACATACTCTCATCCTTTCCTATTGCTACTTTACATGTATAGAATCTTTGTATCTTAAATGAGAGAACAAGTTCTTTGGAGGCTGAAAATTATACTTCTTTGTATCCACAGCAAATTTCACTCTGCATCTTGCAAGAAAAAGGCAGATAGGAAGTACTCAGCATAGTTTTGCTAAATTTAATTGGTTAGTAAGTCAGGGTCACAATTGTGCAACAAATGGAGTCAATCAGAGTAAATTCCTCTTCACTTCTTTGGCCAAGTGATCCATTTGAGTCATGTGTTGTCATCTGTGAATGTCCCAGAAAAAAAAAAAAGAAATGAAGCAATGTGGCCAGAGTCCAATAGTCCAATCGCTCAAACAAAGTATGTTGTAGTTTTCTTTTGAGATAGAGTGAAAATCAGTTTTGGTTTTCTGGTTGGTGTAAATATTGAGAAAACTGGTTGGATCTATGTTTTGATAGTGCCCAGTATGTGGATAAAAACTAAACTATGTTATCAACATGTCTCAAAAAATCTGTGTGTGTGTGCCCAGTGCTAAACCCTAGTGGTTAAAGTTCTCACCTTACATGCGCCAGGATACCATATGGGTGCCAGTTCATGTACCAGCTGCTCCATTTCCATTCCAGGTCTCTGCTTGTGACCTGGGAAAACATAGGACAGCCAAAAGCCTTGGGATCCTGCATCCACATGGGAGACCTGAAAGAAGCTCTGGCTCCTGGCTTCAGATAAGCTCAGCTCTAGGTATTGTGGCCAGAGTGAACCAGTGGCTGGAAGATCTTTCTCTTATAAACATGCTTTTCCAATATAAATAAATAAATCTTTAAGAAAAAAATTCGGTGTGTGATATGAAACCAACAAAATATTCACTGGATTTCTCATGATGCTCTGGGAATCTGGATTGTTTATGTCAACGAAAGTGAGGACAACGAGTGTGATAGTCCCTGAACCAGGTGGTGCCATGGCTGCACATGGCGCCTGCCCAATAGCGGGGAGAAAGACAGCACAGAGCACTGTGAAGTCAGCAGGAGACTATGAGCTGCAGGTCGAAGCGAAAAGAGGAAACAGCCTGGAAAGAGGAGTGCTGCCTGCTTCTGCTCGCCCATCTCGTCCCCGCTTTCTTTCTCTGTACACATATTACTATCCAGCAAATACCACATTTTTGTATCTTATTCCGAACAGAAGTCCCAAACGAACAAGGATATGTCTCTAAGTTTGCACATTGCTGTTTCCTCAATTCTTAAAGTAGATCCTGACACAAAGGAAATGCTGAAAACAGACATAGAATACAATCACAGCATAAAAATCACAACATATACACAAGCCTCGCTGACCAAGTGAGTGCCACATAGAAAGTCTCTTGAAGAATCAGTTCATAAATCAGAAACTTAAATGGTTTCTTGGAAGAAAATATTTCTCAAATTTTTTTTCTCAAATTAATTTTCAGAATCACAAATTCTGATTTAATTGCAATTGAACTGTACAAGTGTAAACAGTTTGCTTAATGTTTTGCCACCTCTCCTTTTTCCATCTGGAATGGAAATAACGACACCAGTCCTATGGTCTTTATAAGCTTTTGAAGTATTTCAAAGGAAACAGCTGACTGGGAAAGCAGTAGGGTAAAGACCCAGTGCGGAAGCTTGCCATGGGTAAATTTTCCACGTTATAAATGTCACTTGTTCCTGTGCGTACAAGTAAGCAAATTCCATGTTCTACTTTTCGGTCTTCGACAAATTAGTCACTATGTATGTATCTATGTATGCCTCCAACATATTTTAAAAGTAAATTTTAACGCACATTTTCCAAACAAGACTGTCACTTTTGGCATTTCAGGTTTACCTTAAAAGTCACAAACTTCTTTAAGATGAAAATAAGCATATGCAACAAATCCAAACCGGCATTTATTTAAACATGTGGGATGTCATTTCTAAGGAAGACATCATTCTTCCTAATAGCTATAACCAACTGAGCTTTTTTTATTGTAGAAATTTCATTTCTTCCTTCTTCTATTTTCTCCCTCAAGCTAAATTCTGTTTGCAGAGTTTCCGCTTTAAAAAGAGACCATATCCCTTTAACAATAGAGACCCAGAGAGAGATTTATTTCCAAAGTTGTTCCCTGGCTTCTACGTGACGAAATCCTCTGTAATTTGAGAGCTGAGAGATCCTCAGGGTTTCTTTAGCCAAAGGAAAAGCTCTGTATTCCCACCCAGTCCAGGACTGAAACAGTATAGAACAAGAGCCTCTCTCTCCAGCTGCAAAGCTCCAACTCCCAGAAACAAGGAGAGAACTTTGTCAGGCGAAGGAGACAGCCTCCAGCCAGAGCTGGGGCAGTGTTTCCCTCTCCACCCTGTGATCCCGCGGACCACAGCCCCAGCCTCTAGAGAGGCGAGCGCCGAGGGAGCTCAGAGCCAGTTGCATCTGGGGCAGTTGCTGCGGGTGCGACCCTGGCGCGGGAGCCACATGAAGCCTGCTGGGGAGCGGAAGCCAGAGTGCAGCAAAGCGGCTGGCACTGAAGCGGACCGCGTCTCCGAGAGGCACTGACTCCCAGAGGGACCCCTTTTCTTGTGCCTGGCGGGCAGATTTTCCTGGGGTCCCTGATTCTCCTGGATATCCGAAATGGTGTCCCTGACGTTCCTTTGGATGGGTTTCCTCTGCCACCTGTGTCAGGGCTACTTTGATGGCCCTCTCTACCCAGAGATGTCCAATGGGACTCTGCACCACTACTTCGTGCCCGACGGGGACTACGAGGAAAACGATGACCCTGAGAAATGCCAGCTGCTGTTCAGGGTGAGTGACCACCGGCGCTGCTCCCAGGGGGAGGGGAGCCAGGCCAGAAGCCTGCTAAGTCTCACCCTCCGGGAGGAGTTCACCGTGCTAGGGCGCCAGGTGGAGGATGCTGGGCGAGTCCTGGAGGGCATCAGCAAGAGCATCTCCTACGACCTGGACGGGGAAGAGAGCTATGGCAAGTACCTTCGGCGGGAATCCCACCAGATCGGGGATGCCTACTCCAACTCCGACAGATCCCTCACTGAATTGGAAATCAAGTTCAAGCAGGGGCAGGAACAGGACAGCCGGCAGGAGAGCAGGCTGAACGAGGACTTCCTGGGGATGCTGGTCCACACCAGATCCCTGCTGAAGGAAACGCTGGACATTTCCGTGGGTCTCAGGGACAAATACGAGCTGCTGGCCCTCACCATCAGGAGCCACGGAACCCGGCTAGGTCGACTGAAAAACGATTATCTGAAAGTATAGATGGGAGGGTACAGGTGCCGGGCACAGGGAATGTGAGCTGCCCTACTGAGGAGGGTGGGGGAACAGGATGGGCTCTCATTTTCCTATGTCTGCTCTATTTTTTAAATTCAGATTTGCACTTGCAGGATAAATCTGAGGTCATCTTTCATAAGAGAGCTTTGAGAATTGAGTGTGTAGTTTTGCTCTTTGGTGGGATTTTCTGTTTGTGTACATTATTTATGTTATTATTATGGATTTATCACCTGGAGAGAACAATTTAAAGCAATGAATGACTCCTGCCTTTCCTAGAGGACTTTATAACCGTGTAGAGATACCTATTCCAGCCATATCAAAAAGCACAGTTTGTGCAGGAGGAACTGATTAAACTGCCCTGACCTGGAGATAGTGTTCAAATTCCCCAAGAGCACAGAGCAGAGTGCATAGCTCCTGTCCGCCTTCAGCCTCCCGTCTGGGGATCAGAAAGCTGTCAGAGTTACATGCGTTGTAGCAGAGGTCCAAGGTGCTGCTCTGCACGCCTACTGGCCCTCGGGAACTGTTTGCTTCCTCCCCTTTTCTCTTTTATTTATTAGCCAAGATCTGCAAGTTATTTCGACTTTTGTTTCTTGTAAGAACTTTGGTGAGAAACTGTAGGCGAACCATCCATTACAGGAAGACTTCCACAGAGCCTCAGTGGGTCTACATCAGTTCAAGTGGCCACTTTTCAGAAGCTTAAACTTTCTGAGGACTGAAGTCACATGGATACGCTGATTCACTATTTCTCACAGTGTATGTCTTTGCTTTACGGTCAGTTATGCAGTCAAATGCAAGAAAGGAGAGAGATTGTTTGAATACACTCCAAATGCCTATGAAAGGGCTGCCAGTGTAATCATTCTCACTCGGGGAGTTTTCCTTCTGTTTGCTTATGGAATGTTGTACTTTAAAGAGGGGGGCTCTAACTAAATGGAATCCCTTAGCTAGGTTTTATTACTCAGTCAATAAATGTGTTTTCATATAATACTGGCTTATTTTCTATTTTATATCTGCAGTTTTTGTATTTCAGAGTGGGGATTGCCAAAAGAGAAAGAGTGAGATTTAAATCAGTTGAATTAAAGCACAGAAATTAAAGCATCAGAACATATTTGACAGTTCACCTTCAGAGGAAAGAGAAAAAAAACTACCTATGTGGAACTTTTTAATTGCAAGTTCTCTAATAAGCTTTAGTTTCTCTCCAGCATTCCTGCCGTTTTTGATAGCCTCAACAGGAAAACTTTTTGACAAGGCTCAGACCTTGTATGCTCTCATGATGTACAAAGAGTCAGTTTCTGGGTTATAGTAACTCCAGTGGTATTTCATGGTTGTAAAGCTATGTCTGTGCTATTTAATTAATGGCTTTAAAAGGCAAAAATTTCACTCTGCATGTTTTTCACTGGGTAATCAATCTTCAACCCCATTTTAAATGTGTCTTCTTTTCATAGGCACACACATGCACACACACACACACACACACACACACACACAAATGTTTAGTTTGCTTGATACTGCAGAGAACTGGAATTTTTTTTTCCTCTCCCATACGTGATGGAATCAACATTCTAGTCCTAGGAATTATTCAATAACCTTCAACTACAGCAAGGGAAACTGAGATTCAGGAAGGATGGGGGACTGTTCCTCAGCTAGCTGTTGTAGCCTCGGCACTCATAGATGGAAGTATAGGATGTTCAAGATACTCAGGAAGGAAAGAGTAGCAAAAGTTAACCACTGTATCTCTTAAAACAGAAGAAACAAAAAAGCAGTGGTTAGAACAATATCTAAAATTTTTTTCTCACCATTCAAGGATCTATTTTAGCTGGACTCATGTGGAAAGATGACCATTGATCACTTAAAAGGATTTCCTTCTTCATTCTATGAAGAATGAGCAACAAAATGGGAGCACAAGTACAGGAGTGGCATTTGGTACTTAGAGGTTTGTAGTTTGATGTTACAACCCATGACACTCACTTTTCAGTACTCAGTACTATCCAATTCACATATCAGTTGTCATCACCTTGAATTTCCCAACTGTCACAAGAGGATATTGGATGCATGACAGTGATAGAAAACCAGTTTCCTCAAGCATGTTAATTGTAACCAATTGCTAATGGCTGCCTATGGTATTACATTAAGAGGGATTCATAAGGCAGAGAAGTAAAGGGTGTTGTCCCAAATTAGAGATGTCTTCCATGGGTGTAGAAAAAGAGTGCTGATCCATCTGCTACAAATTTGAAAATACTCAAATAGATTATGCATAAGGTTCTTTCCAGTGGTAACACTCTACAATTCCTACAAAACCAGAACAGAATTACCAAGCATTGAGTCACTCAACTCAAGCCCAGATGTGTGGCCAGTAATCCCACAGAATCTTTTGTAAATAGTACCAGAACACAAATGGGAATTTCCAGATAGGAGAGAGGCAGACTTGAACTGTCATTCCGCATGTCAGCATTGCAAGATGTTCCCAAACTTTATGACAAAAGGAAGTCTGTCACACTAAGAACTTTCTATTCCACTTCCTCATTATTCTTGTTAGACTTTATTACTTATATGGTGACATATAACATTTTAAAGTTGTGGTTCTGTATTAGACCAGCAAATATTGTGAAAATCCAAGGGAAAAAAATCTGCACACTCTCTTCTCTGAGAAATCTATTTAAAAGCACATAACACAATTTAGAATATTAAGCTATTTTTATGAATAGCTGCTAACCACTCATTTTGTACCAGACTTTGTGCTAGCTGTATGGGACTTCATCAAAGGACCTGAAGTTTGAAAAGTCTCTCAGAAATTTAGTTGGATAATAAATTAGTTATTGTTCTTATCTATGTAACAATAAGATGTCTATTTTTTTTTAATGCTTAACATTATTGGTAAGACTTGTGCTAAGGATTTTGCTTGGATTGGTTATAATTCTTCATGTGAAAAATGCACTGTGTGAATAAAGGGTTTTATAAGAGAAAACTATATGTGCTCAGTTCTTAGAACAGTTCCTAAAACAAGGTGAAACCCCCAATAAATCTTATTTGTTGCTATTGCTATTTTTAGTAGTATAGCTTTTTAAAATAACTGAGACTCAGAGTTTTTCCCAAAATTAACAACTGTGATGCACAGATAAATATTTCATTTTGTTTTCCACTTGACAGCTAAGTAGGGCCTACATAATCAAATGAAAAAAGAAGGGTAAGTCTCCGCTGGGGTGTATACTCATTTACTCACTGTAAACGCTACTTCTGACACTGTTGCAGTCAGAGTAGAGTGTCTCAGCTCCCCTCTTAGCTTTTTGTACATTGTTCAAAACTTCTATTTCTTACTTTTGATATTAGACCATGTTGCAAATTTCAATAGCCCAGAGTACAATAGAGAGTTCAAGGAAAATTTAATTGAAATAGAAATAAGAAAAAAAAAACGTTTGCAGCAAAAACATGCAATATTTGTGCACTACTTTCCATAATAGACATCATTAAGGAAATTTTTAATGATTCTTTGAACCAGTGTTGAAGTGTTTTGCAGATAAATATCTCTCTAGAATCTGCTGGTAAAAACTTAGGCTACTTTAGTTCTGCAACAACCAAACGTAGGTCCATTGAATTTATAGAAGCGGCCAGTATCTGGCAAGTATATTGCATGTATCATAATTGAAAGAATGTACAATAGTTCACATACTTTCATTGTCTTCTTTTTAAAATCTTTATGTAGATTTATAGGAAAGTTCTAGAAAGAGAAAGGCATAAAGATCTTCTATCCACTGGTCCACTCCCCAAGTGACCATAACAGCCAGAGCTGAGCCAACCTGAAGCCAGGAGCCAGGAACTTCTTCCAAGTCTCCCATGTCAGTACAAGATTCCAAGGTCTTAGGCCATCCTCCACTGCTTTCCCTGGCTACAGACAGGGAGCTGGATGGAAAGTGGAGCAGTTGGGACAGGAACCAGTGCTCCAGTGGGATCCTGAAAATTGTAATACAAGGATTTTTAAATTCTCATTTACATAAGAAAATGGACTCAAGCATTTGTATAGGGTCCTTCATGCATACATTATAATTATTTTCATGAATAATTAAGATATCTATGACAAACACTGACAATACGAAATATTTCTAAGGGGAGTATAATTAAATGTCCTTTGGGTGCTTTTCACCAAATGATTATTAAATTCTTGATACAGAATATTGCTTGGGTAGGAAATAGTAATGCCCACAGTTTTTAAATTATTTAATATAAAATTCAAATAACTAGAGGTATGGTATTGGTTAGAAATAGAATACAGAACTATGCAGATCAGTACTTAGAATTACTCTTTCAAAAGTCAGGATACTGATGGATATGCTACGCAGCAAATAACTTTAATATGTCACCAAAAAAGATACCATGATAGAAATACTTTGAATTTGTGAAGAAAGTGACACCTACATGGAATGTAGCAAGTATGGCACCAGAGCATTTAGAGGGTTCTGTAAGCGTTCGTCCAGAATCTAATTGGAAGTGTCTTAAAGATGTAAACTGTGTACATAAAATAAGAATTTTAAATAATCACACATTCAGGAGCCATACAGTACCCGTTTATGCTATTAATGTTGTTATGTTTTATTTTTAATAGCTTTTCTTCGCTGATTATAAAAGACATACCTTTGTATGTTAATAGAAGATACGATACGCACAAGGAAGACAAAGTTATCAGTATTCTGAAACCCCTTCTATCATGCACAACATTTGTGTTTTGTTGTATGTTCTTTCAATACTTTTGGTGTCTCTAATATACTCCCATGTTGCCAATATCTGCTTTAAATTTTTAATGTGTCTAGTTGCATACATTTTTTCTTAAAATATGTATGTATGTATATATTTAAATGATACACACACAGAGAAAGGTACAGATACAGGGAGACATCATCCGCTGTTTAACTACTCCAAATATTTACAACTGCCATGAGTGAGCAGGCACAAAATTGGGAGCCAGGAAATCCAAATCTCCCTTGTGGGTGGCAGGAATG